CACTAATGAGTTTTCCATTCACAGGTCAGACCAGAACTAGTCTGAAGTAAAACCTACTAAACTCAATATGTAATAGGATACCCAGTCCTGTTTTACTCCACAGGTCCACTCCTACTGTGTTACCCTGCTCGTCAATATATACATGGTCTTCTGATACTCAGTTACCACCCACTAGATTTCCATCAGGAGTATCACCTTTGGTAGATGTTGAATAATAAATAAACTAGGAAATGAAAAAAACACAAATAAACAAACACACCCCCCCCCCCCCCCCCAGCAACAACAGCAACCAACCAAAAAACCCAAAGCAAAATAAGAGAAATGGTCTTTGGTTCAAAACAGAAATGCCACTTCTCTAATGTTTTGTCTTCTTCTACTGCATAGCATGCAAAGGAAACACCAAGAGCTAGGGCTTCCAGCCATAGGCAGGGTTAGGGCTCAGATGATTTAGGTCACTGTGACTTCATAGACTTTAGTGGACAAAATAACTACACATCCCAGATGGAAGATCTAGGGATGGATTTTGCTATAAGCCCCAACTGCAGATTCAAACCTCAAGGATAGATTTTAAAGACTATAGTAAGGATACTAGGCCAGGACAAATAACAAAATCCAACCAGCTATTTTCTGCTCTTTATTCCAAACCTCCAGTTTTACTACAGTAGCAAGGACTGGCTGGAAGGATCTCTGTTGCCAGGGTGAGTGCATGGGAAAAAGCAGTTCCATCTCACACAGCTCCAGAGAAAGTGAGCCAAACTTCTACACTTTAGATTCCTTTTGGGTGCTAGATTTTTCTGTATATATCCCTCCATTTATACACATGCATATGCTCTCAGCTCAGGCAGTATTTAGGAATTATTTCTGGCTCAGAAGTTTACATTTGTTTCCTCCTATTTGAGAAATCTTGTGTTGATCTGCTTTAAATTAAGAACACGATCTATAGCTCATAATTTTACGGAGGTTTATCCAAGCTGGTGTTCTAGCTAGTGCTATTCCCCTCAGCAGAAGCTGCGGCTAGTTCTCCACCTAAAGATTCATATTTGTATCTTGAATTTCCATATTCTATTTCTAAATGAAGATTGATATGCTGAAAAAGGATCTATCTGGAAGAATCTCTTTCTATTTTGGACAGCGATCCCTCTTTGGCACCTGTGCTTATTTAGATGTCTTCCCAAGTCACTATTTTTCAAAGATACTGGGATTCCATCCGTTTCCTACATTTCCAGTGCTTTTAGGTCTTGGCATTTCAGAGAAGTTCTTTCTTTTCCCAGTGACCAAACAATTGCAGACCTTCCTACCAAGTACAACTGGAGGCAGGCAACAGGACTGCTATAAAGGGAATGTTGTTGAGTGCACATAAACTGGAATTTTACTGGGGCTGCTTGAATTTTAAAACCTAAGTGAAAGGTTACAGTCAGCTGAACTGACTCTAGAGGACCTACAGATAAAAGACATAGGATAATTCATTTGTAAATCTGTGCAGAATAGTGTAGCAATGGATGACTGTCTGAAGGGGAACTGTTGATCTAACTTTAGGTAACTGTTGAAAAACATTTTTCTGAAAACCTGTCAATTCTAGAACAGATTTATGCCCTTCCAGAGGGGATTAACTGGTATACAAAAGATGCGAAATGACAAAAAAAAAAACAACCCAGAACCCACCCGAAATTGTTGTATATAAGCACAAAAAAGTTTATCTCCCAAAAATCAACTTTTCCCACAAACACAGGGCCTAAGACACAAAGTCTTCGGTGTAAATTTCGTGGGAGAATTTGGACTACAAGCCATCTTTGAGTAGACTGACAGCAGAGGTGCTGATCTTAATTCTTCTAGATGTCAGATGAGGTGTTAGCAATTCTCCTGCTATGTTTGGCGGGATTTAAAATCCAAGAGGAGTTACAATAAAAGCAGATAAATTGGCAGCTTCAGCCAGTGTATCCTTTAATCCAAACAAGTCTGAATAGTCAATTTTGCATGTGTGATTGTGCAACTCAAGATAACTGCTCCACTTCTGTCCCACTTCTCTTCAGTTAGTTATCACCTGCAATGTTTTCTGCAGTATAAGTTCTTGAGACTATACTGTACAGATAATTATAAAGTTGTATGTATGAAAAGTATTTTCTTCGTGTATGTGAGGCTCTTCTTTTCCTACTGGCTCTTAAAAAAAACTGCTTCTCTTTCCCTGCCTCCATCACTGCTCTCTGTAGTTCAGAGTCAGAAAATCTTTACTTTCTATAAAAAATACTTTTTTTACTGCAGGAGTAACAGCCTCAGTGGAGACACTCATGGAAGAGAAGCAAAACATCTCCAAAGCTGGGCAGCAGTTCAGCTATTATTTTTTTCTGTCTTCAAACCTATGAATACTTCAAATCATCCCTGTATTTAACATCAGGGATATGCTTACCTGACTTGATTGAATTGGGACATTACATGGAAAAAGACTGTATTGAATTCTGACTTACCTACTGCTTTCTGTTGGTGCTACCAAAGAATCAGGCTGAGCCTGTGACACCAAGTGCAATCAGCATTTAAAAAAGGAAACAGTACAAACCCAGATTCTTCCAGGTAAGGAAATCACTCAGCTTGGGGATTTATTTGGCAGAACCTACAATATATCAGATCTGACTGAAGGTCTGGAAAATGCTCAGTGTCTTGCTAATGCCTTTAAAAGGGAAACTTGCTCAAGATAAATACAATGACAACTGCAGACACTTCATGAATGTGAATAAAAATGCAACCAACCAGCTCACGCAGATAAGAACTGCTTTTCTAAGGCACACATCTGTACTCTTGGACTGCCTGATGGTCAAACCTCAGAACACAAGCTTTCCTCCGTCTGACAAAGAGCATTCAATTTTAATGAGTTTTTATGGTCAGCTTTCTAGCTGTGAAAGGCTGTTGAAGCATTTCAGGTTTGTTTTCACACACACTGTCAAAGATGTTTTGTTTTGGCTTGTGTGCTGTAGAGGACAGAACAGAAATATCTACAAAGGCCCTATTCATGTTGCTATTTAACTGTTGATTGACAACTCTTCCCTCTGTGTGTGGGTGAAAGCCTGCTGAACTGTAGCTTTGGCTGGAAGGAGCGAAAGTGAAATTGAGCACCTGTTCCTAAATACCAATACCAAATATCTGCAAATCTAAAGGGCCTTTTGTTGAAAGAGTACTGAGTTTCAGAAAGCTAGGCAAGGAAGGAAGGTTGTTCTCTTTTTGAGTTCTTTCTCTGTGCCTACTGGTGCAAAGTCCAACACTGCCCCCTGAAATCGAGGTAGATAATTCTACCGTCCTCATCAGACAACATCTGACAACAATTTTTTAGCTTCTGTCAGGTGTTTTCTTTCATCCCACAACAGCTCAGTGGAAGAAGGACAAAGTCAAAAATGTTGGCTCTTCTTATGTTTAAAATATCTATAGCAGAAAAAGAAAAAGTTGAAGAAATAGACCTTGTTACATAATAAGACCCTGTTTTCTGTTTATGTCACCAGAAAATTTGCCTTTTCAAGGCAAGAGATAAAAACTGAAGTGGACATGAATTTTTGGTATCATGTCTTTTTGAAAAAAGTGATTTCAATGTTTCTAAGTTGAATTTACATGGAATTGTCAACTAAAAGAAATTCAGCAACATTTCCAAAAACCAGCTGGCATTTTTACTTTTTGCTAGTATTTTGAGTTTTCATTTATAAGTCTTCGCTTTTAAAACATGCAACTGAGTATCACAAGAGAAACATGCTGGACTTTGCCTTTCAAACACGTGGAAATAGGTTGGCATTTGTGTGGGCCAGAATACTTAGAAAGGTTTCTGTTTATTTCAGAGGTGAACTTTCGAATGCTTGTACAGCAGGTGAAACAGAATCAGCCTTTATATTCTACATTAGAAGAGTATACCAGGAACAAGAGGTCTAAGCGTACATTAGCATTTGTCTTGTCTCTCTGGCATGAGAACAATTTATGTAATTTAATGTTTCAGAGTATTCTGACACATCAAACAAATGTGAAATAATTGACTCAATAGAAATATCAAGATGATTATTTTTAAAAGGAGCAAAAGATAGTAAAAACAAAAAAAACCCAGCAAAAGTTAATAGCAAGCTATTCATAAATGCACATTTCTTACCCAGCATTTTGACAAAATTTTGTGTGATATTCTGTTCTAATACTTTTTCCACACTCCTAAGTGTGTTAACTCTGAGAGAGCCACCTTTGTTTCAGGAATTTTCACCTATTCAGGTATTCCTCCATTTCTTGACACAGAACAGACTTTCTTGCCTTCACATTCTTTTAAAATTCAAAACACATTAAAGAGAAGACTGTGGCAGTCAGGCAAAGGAGGCTTAGATCAGCTTTTCATACAGTCTATCCTGATAAAGGTGGTGTTTCCTCACATTGCTTTCGTAAAAGTGCTTGTGTCATCAGCCTCTCAACAGTCAGCATGTCTATGGATCTCTTTCAACCTTACCATCAAGCTTTCATTTGAAACTGGTATTTTATGTTGTTCTATCAGCCTTTTATTATGACTTTAAAGACTACATTCCTCCAATGAGTTCACACTTGAAAAAAAATCAGTGACCACTTGTGGACATCTTATGGACAAGGTTTTGGGAGAACAATGGTAGTAGAAGAGAACTTTGAGTAGAAGGATTAGATTTAGATAGCAATTTTGTCTTTCCATTTTTAACTTTTTCTTACATAAACTTAAACCAGCAAATTTTATAAAGGAGAACTATTTTAAAAGCCTTCGGAGGAAAATCAGGAAAATGATCCCACCCTAATGAAATGAGAGCCTTGCCTGAAGCTATGCAGACATCAATTTGGTAGGGCCTGTGTACATGAAATACTCCAAAAATTAATTACTTATCTAACTAACTAACTAATTAACTAATTAACTACATTTTTAAGAATTTTGAAAGGAAATTATTGTTCTGTGTATACCTCCTTAAATGATACTGCCCTACAATGCTTTCTTTCTACTTTATATTCATGTAAGCCTTAAACATACATACCTGAATACTTAGATACAGGCATCAACATTCTTTCAAATTCAATTTTCACTTTTTCCTTTTTTTTAATTCAGCCTCTTCCGAAAGCTGATTCCCAGGTTGCTGCAGGAAAGGACTATTTAACATCAGAAACACACTACCAAATTTAGTAAAACAGCCTTAAATATTCATAGTAAACTGCAGAAAATGGCTTCAGAAATGCATACCTATTCTATCAACATAACATGGTCTCTGTCAGAAGCATAAGAATATTTTAAGTAGACCTATTCTGTGCTGCTTTCACCCCAGCAGCAGCTGTGGTCAGGTGAGCAAGGCTGTCTTAGGACTTCATCTAAATCCTCATAATCTCTTTTTGCCAGTAAAGTTGATTCCTCTCTTCCCTGTTTCTGTCCCAGTACCTAAAAGTTTGATCCAGGTTATCCATCTGGTCAGCTTGCATGATGGGAGACACCTACACACTATATGTACATATAAACCGCCTGCTGATATGAGCTACTTTGATTTGTTATTATGTGCATTCGTATTCTGCCATGCGCAATGTTAAATATTACCCTAAGCAAATTGGAGCAGAAAAATTCTCAGTTGCCTTGTCCAGGAGCAGTGAGCACAGTTCCTCAGAACACTATAACCTCTGGTAGCTTTGAGCAAATAATTTTTTCTTTTTTGCCTAAGGTTTTTGCCTCAGAAACTGTGTAGTAATATTTCCTTTACCTAAAAACTCTTCCTGTTTTTGTCTTCATACAGTGTAAGCTCCCAGTGCAGGAAGCTTCTTGCCATGTCTTTGACTGGAACCGGAATGAGGAAACTCTGCCTCACCTTCAACATTTTGTGCACTCTGTTGGAATGATACTAAAATAAGTGCTAAAAGTAGTTGGCCAGTTCTGTTGAGGCCTTTCAAACGAATATTATTTTTGGCTGTTTTCAGCTTTTTCTCATTGTGCAAGATGGTAGGTTTAAATATGTTATTAAAATAAATTATTTTAACAGTTCCTGTATAAACATACCTAGTTACAAGCTAAAACATGATTTTTTATGTCTAGGGGGCATTTCCAGTAAGAACCGATGTAATACTTCTGCTTGTGAAGCAGACAGGCAAGGTAACCTTTGTCACCCCTGGGCTGTGCTGCAAAGCATATCTTTGTGTCAACAGGGTAAGGTGACATGTCCTCATCATTGATGCAAGCGTTCTGGCAGTTTGGAGAACTACAGTTTGCAAAATCAGAAGCTAGCTTTGTGATTTTCACTTGGGGTCGGATGATGGGAACAGATACCTCACTTCAGATGAACAAAAGGAAAGAAAATCAAATTTAAAACGAACTATGTTTCTGACGTATTTTCTACATGTAGAGAAAAGCCAAACCTAATACGTATTCTGACCAAAGGCCAAACACTCAGCCTTGGCTGCATATGCTTGGCTCTCATTGTTGGCAGCAGCAACTCTGAGTATATCGAAGGTCAGAACTAAACTCTAATTTGAGCTTAGTTCAATATAACCACACGTTTTCATCAGCTCCACCTAAGTCTAATAAAGTAGAACTTAAGCCATCATACCACTGATCAATGTGTTTCATGTATAAGATGCAGAACTTCATTTAAATAAATGGCAGCCCAAGGAAATGAAAGTAGGTGTAAACCAAATTAATGCCTTGCTGCACAAAATGTAGAAATCCCAGCCATTTATCACAGTGTAGCTTAGTTATTCTGAGTGCAAGACAGTAAATCTGAAGGAATAAGAGATGTGCTAAGAAACCAGACGTTAAATCTACAGAAGCAGAAGCAACTGATGGGTCAGTTTAAGTCAACTGTTGCCTCAGCTACACTGCAAAAGCAAACAATCTTAATCCTTAAGTGCTGAAGAGTGCTGGACATTTCCAGTTCCATCCAAGAGAAAAGTAGACAAACTGTTCTCCAGTCCTTCTACCACTGAGAGGAGTGTTTTCCCTTTCCTGCTGCCTTGAATTAGCTTTGCATCCTCTGTTTCATCTGTGCCTGCCATGGCGTCAGACTACAGTGAATCTTTTTCCAGAACATCACAGTTTTTGTTCCATCCTCTGTCTCGGATATACCTTAGGAAGATGACTGTATGAAGCACAGGCTTTGACACACAGCTGCTTAGCTGTGCAGGGTCTGAAGTAAAGGTCAGCTCGAGCTCCATTCCAGCAGAAACTATGCAGGACAGCTGCTCTAGCTCTGGTCATACTTCTATGCATCCTATGAAGGCAGTCATGCAGGAACTAATGTTTATATTTAGTTCTTGAATAAATGATTTCTATTCCCTTGTTTATAAACAGGCATATATACAATCTGTATATACAGATACAGATACAGTTCAGAGTTGGTTTGTTGTAGGCACATTTGGTTGTGTATAACAACCTGTCCTAAAATGGCACATCTCTTATTCTAATTAATTTTATTTAAAAAACCCCAAACTTTTGGAAAAGAATCTTTCTTGTGCATTTGGGATGCACTATTCAATTCACATCCCTAGGACAGGAAAAATTACCCCTCAGAACCTTCCCAGTTTGCTTTTCTGTGCATATTTAGTTTAGCTGCATTTATCTGTTTAGAAGGTAGAGTGCATTTAGAAAGTAGAAAACTAGTACCGCCAAGGAAAGTATAAAATGTTAAATAAATCTGAAGTGTTTGCATGCTATGAAACAGTTTTTAAATTTCTGTCTTCCCAAGTGGAAGTGGAGATTTACGTGTTATGATGTGACATAATATGTGCTCTATTTAAAACTGTAATATGACTTTAAAAGTTCTACTACTAAATGAGAAGGGCTAAGACCTTAAACAAGACAGGCTTTGAGTAAGAGCCAAATGTAATTTTAATGTAATGTCTTCCAGCTTTTATAGTGCAACATACCGGCAGATTCTTTCCTGTTAGCTGCTAGGGTTCATGTTACCTTTAAACTTGAGCTGTGCTAGTCATGTGGGGCAAGGTTCTACTTCCCTACTCAGTCATGGTCCCACTAGTGTGATGATAAATCATCATCATGGCACAGCGATGAAGATGTGTAGCAGGGCTCCTCCAGAAGTTACGGAGCATTCTGTTTGCACAGACAGCAGACCTGGCTCTTGAATTCTTTCTTGCTTTCCTTAGCCATATACAACCTCTGAGAGTTTGATCTTAAGCATTAAAAGGGCTCCCAAGAAAAGGTCTTGCAGATTACGGTGACTTTTCATTCTGAAATGAAAATGTCTTCATTATTTCCTTTAAAGATAACAGGAAGGGATTCTACAAGTACATAGCAAATAAAAAACAGACTAGGGAGAATGTAGGCCCCCTCAGGAAGCTCTCGGGAGAACTGGCTACCCTGGATTTGGAGAAGGCTGAGGTTCTGAATGACTTCTTTGCCTCCGTCTTCACTGGCAAAGGCTCTGACCACACCACCCAAGTCTTGGAAGGCAGATGCAGGGACTGTGAGAATGAAGACCTTGGGCCCACTGTAGGAGAGGATCTGGTTCGAGACCATCTTAAAAATCTGAACGTGCACAAGTCCTTGGGGCCTGATGAAATCCATCTGTGGGTCCTGAAGGAGCTGGCAAATGAAGTTGCTAAGCCACTGGCCATCATATTTGAAAAATCGTGGCAGTCAGGTGAAGTTCCTGATGACTGGAAAAAGGGAAATATAACCCCCATTTTAGCTTTGATATAACCACCACTAACAAAGAGGGAGAGAGGCATGACAGCGAATACTGTCAGTTTGGTACATTTGTTTAGCAGGCTTGAAATAAGATTCAGTTTGAAGGTGGTTGCAAAGAATACAGTAGAAGTGTGGAACGAAATACATCTTCCACACTAAATGTGTTGTTTTTTCTGTCCGTTTAAACCATCCACTCTGCTTTGTCAGAGCTTCTCCAAATAATGAAATTCCCTCTCCTGCCTGTAGCCCATGGTGCATACAAATAAGATGAAGGTGGTGGTGGTAAGAAACTAAGATAGAAAGTCAGGGGAAAAAATGAGAGAAAATAAGATGGAAAGAGGAAAAAAGGAGGAAATAAAACCAGATTATGAGCTAATACTACATTCCCACAGATCCAAGATCGTGAAAAATAAGGTACAAGCCACATCAAAACTGCACTTTAAAATGCCTGGCTTATTTTCACTGCTTTTACTCCAGTGATGAATTACTGGTCAGCATCCAGAAAAGAAGACACCCTCTTAACCTCAGAAGACCTTCATCCATAGTGAAAAATATAGCTGCAGACCAACCAGTGTTCTTCATTGAGTAATAATGCTACTTGCATTATTGGCATAAGGCAAAAAAGTGGAGAAAAATAAGAAGCATCTAATCAGAACTGGAGGGGAAAAAATGTGTCTGTATGGAAAAAGGTAATTTCTGAGTTGAAAACTAATCAAGAAAGAAGCTTGAAATAGTGGAAAATAGTAAACAAATTCCTGTGAGATGAACTAACACTGTGCCCCGCACTGAAAAGTAATTGAAAAGTAAAGAAAACAAGGGTTTTGGAGCCAGAACATGACAAAAACCATCACAGAGTCTCAGATCTCAGCTAGCCCACACACTTGTAGTGCTAGGTACCTCTTGGAAGAACAGTCTGTCTCCTTTTCCACTCAGGAGAGGTCACAGGAATTTATAAATGACAACTGCCTCTGCTGAAGAGGGCTTAACAGGTATAAAGAACATTACTGCGCTGGTGCTGCCCTTTGCAAACCCCCAAACATCAAAACTCAATGTTACATCATTAGGATAGAGATCAACACCACTTAATTCAGTTCTGCTTTGTGGAGTCAATGATAAAACTCAGATTTATTACAAAAGCACTTGTCTGAAAAGCTTTTCTGAACTTAATCGCTGTGTTATTTTGCAAGTTTCCTGTCAATTCCCCCCCCCCCCCCCCCCCAAAAAAAAAAAAGAAAGGGTAATATTACTGTTCTATGTGAAAATCCCAACTCCATCGTTCCTGTAAACCAGCAGATAGAATCATAGAATGTTTAGGATTGGAAAGGACCTTAAGATCACCAAGTTCCAACCCCCCTGCCATGGGCAGGGATTCCTCATACTAGACCATGTCACCCAAGCACTGCCAGGGATGGAGCATTTACCACTTCTTTGGGCAACCTCTTCCAGTGCCTCACCACCCTCACAGTAAAGAATTTCTTCCTTATGTCTAACCTGAACTTCCCCTGGTTAAGTTTTAACCCCTTACCCCTTGTCCTATCACTATAGTCCCTAACAAAGAGTTCCTCCCCACGTCTTTACAGGCCCCCTTCAGATACTGGAAGGCTGCTGTGAGGTCTCCACGCAGCCTTCTCTTCTCCAAGCTGAACAGCTCCAACTTTCACATCGTATCTTCATACGGGAGGTGCTCCAGTCCCCTGATCATCCTCATGGCCCTCCTCTGGACTTGTTCCAACAGCTCCACATCCCTCTTGTGTTGGGGGTCCCACATCTGGATGCAGTAATGCAGGTAAGGTCTCACAAGAGCTGAGCAGAGGGGCAAGATCACCTCCTTTGACCTGCTGGTCATGCTCCTTCTGGTGCAGCCCAGGTTGGCTCTCTGGGCTGTGAGTGCACACTGCCGGCTCATGCCATTTTAGACATAAATTTCTCCTGAGATGAAATCCTATGTGCTCATTGTTTCCATGTGGGATGTGCTTGAAACTCGTCCATCTTTCCTAATTTTACTAGCTGATCTAGTGCGTCTTGCAGAAAGAAATAATGTTTTGTCTTGTGTAAGTCTCTAGGGCATTATTCTTACTACTATATGACTTATAAAAATCAGTTACAAGGCTGACCCTATTTCAAAGACCCACCATGATGATCACCTGTAAGTCATTTACCTTCCTTGGTAGGAAACTTGCCTCTCTGGAAATGTGATGCCAAAGGATGAGTGTATCGAAGCTACTGACAACTGTGGAAGAGCCAGTGGTAAACTAAAAGTTACCTGAGAAAGAACCAGAAGAAACCCAAGAATGGAACTGGCCTGTGTGTGAGGTCCTGTGCCAGCACACAGATAGCTAGCTAGTAAAGATTCTGTGCTTAGGAGAAATGCCAACAGAGCTGCAGCATCCTGAAAGCATTTAAGACCCCACTGTGTACCTTAGACAATGGTCCAGTGAATATGCTGTAGCAGATCTCTCTCAATCAGCAAAAAAAACCAAGTCCAGATATACCATAATTCATTCAAATTAGATGGTGATACTTGCTCCTATGATCCATGATGTCCCCACCCTTTCAGACAAGTTGATGTACTTTGGCCCCTAATAGGAACTTCATGTATTTACTGGACAAAGATAATTCTCTTCTCAGAACTCATAATGCTTGGTATAAGCTATTTGCATCACAATAACATGGGTAGTGATAATATTGAGAAATCAGCACTCCTTTCAACTACTAAGTCATTGCCCTTTCACCAATTAATAATTCCAGATCTTTTCTAAGGGAATGTTTCCTAGAATCCTTAAGGGAATCTTACATGGGGAAATCTGATGTGATCTTTGGAAGCAAGGACTGAGTTGATTAAAGGCTTCCATAA